TCTTCTCTCCAAGACAAAGTAGGTATTTCCCTCGAGATTTCCCAAGCGGCGATCTTCGCGAAACCACATGAATTTGGGCACAAAAACGTGCCAGCCATTGTAAAATTACTTGAGATATAATTGGAATATCTTACAAATGAAACTTGTAAACAATGTAGGCAATAAACTTGGAATAAAATGCAAAGTCTCGATCTATATTGATGCCACAACTACAACGTCTTTCGTAAATCCCGCCTAAATTAACTCATGCGCAGACACTAGTTAGATGATAAGGCATTTATTTTAAGAAATGACAATATCAGAGAATTGAACGTAGATATATATTTTAACTATTCGTTATTTAGCTACATCACTTCGTAACATGTTTACTACACATGACAATATTTGYTCTTTTAAATTATGAAACCACACAATACTTACAATATGAGCATTCTAGTATMAAGTCAAGTAGCCGAAAATCCCATTGCGTGAAATATTTGGCATATTTTTCATCAAAAATGAATAAAACCAGACATAAAACTGCACAAAAAAAMTGCAAACTGGTCCGCCATCTTTWAATTCATCCTCTTGCATGGTCTTGTATCCACAGAAACTGATCTCATACGGAAAGCCGCTGGGCGTTTGTATCCGAACCTGTCTTTGCAARGTTGTATTTCTGGTGCACGGGCTTTGTCTTTATTGAGTAATATTTYAAAGAGTAAGYTTTTTAGATTATTCGGTATTYWAAAATTGTGCAGCTCTATAAACGGTTAAACGGAATCTAACTGGAAAAGCTAAATATCTGAAATAAAACTASGAAAGGAATGGGGTTCTAATCAAGGTTAAAGCAAATTGGGCCACATTTCTGTGTTTTGTTGAGGAAAATTTCGTACTTGATATATAAAACRTATATTTCCATAGTTTCCAAAACTTTCATCATCTATGTTTCATTTAAAGCCGAAAACTCTGTAAGTTTGGAAGGAAAAGAATTTACTCAAGCCCGATGAAAATAAACAATTTTTTCACGTCCAAATATTGTCATTGAGTCGTCACATGACAAATCACATCGAAGTTTGGTATGCCAAATCAAAGATGGCAGGAAGGTTATTTGACTTTTTTGATACTTGGTCGTCGCTAACTACTGACGGGTCAGTTCTGAACATTGTTAAGGGGGTAAAAATTGAATTTACTGATAAAAGTATCTCTACCCCTTATACATGACCCAGCATGTTCAATGCTGACGAACAGAAAATTGGTGAACAGGAAATTGCAACACTAATCACTAAAAGCCTTGTTGTTGAGACAACAAAAGAACCGGATGATWTCATATCTACGATATTTTTGAGTCCAAAAAAAGAAAGACGGCTCTTATCGCATGATTCTAAACTTGAARCAGTTCAATGAACATGCTGTATATCATCATTTTAAGATGGATACTTTAGAGTACGCCATTCAACTGATGAAACCGGCCTGTTTCATGGTCTCGGTTGACCTTAAAGATGCTTATTACACTGTTCCGGTCCATAATTCACACCAGAAATATCTGAAATTTCTTTTCCGTTGAAAGTATTATCAATATACGTGTTTACGTGGACTTGCAAGCGTCGCGCGAATCTTTACTAAACTACTTAAACCAGTCTATTCRACGCTGCGCAGTATGGGTCATGGCAGTCCAGCTTATATACACGATTCATATCTCTAAGGTGACAGATTCATAGAATGCTACAACAATGTAGTCGACACTGCAAAATTGTTCTCTCAACTCGGATTTTGTGTACACCCTTAAAAATCAATGTTTGAGCCCAAGCAGGAGATTGTCTTTCTCGGTTTTATACTTAACTCATTAGACATGACGGTTACGACTACTTAAGAGAAAATACACAAGATCATTTCCATGCTTTTCCTCCATTCAGTCTGATCTCCAGGTGCCTCTCCAAGATCTCGCAGGACAAAGCGCAAGGAATAATGATAGTRCCCCTATGGCCAACTCAACCCTGGTTCCCTTTGCTACTACAGATGCTATACAAACAGCCGTGGATTTACGCMCCCAAACAAGACCTCCTACAACACCCGTCCAACMAACATCTWCACCCACTAGCGACCAAATTGCACCTAATGGTATGTCCCTTATCAGGGAACACTACGCTTACTTACAAATTCCGAACAACATTACCGACGTCATCCTTGCGTCCTGGAGACCAACAACTACGAAACAGTATGGAACGTACCTTCGAAGGTGGATGCCGTTTTGCAGTGAAAGGGAAAATAATTACCATTCACCTTCGATAAATAACATCCTCGATTTCCTATTTGAGCTCTACAACAGCGGATTTAGCTACTCTATACTCAACATCGCTCGTTCAGCTCTGTCTACTGTGGTCAATATTCCCGATTTTAGTTCTAACGCTATTGTTAACCGGTTTATGAAAGGTGTTTTCGAGTTAAGAAAACCCACGCCATAATACTCTTCAATATGGGATGTTTCAGTTGTACTGAAGTAACTAGCCAAAGAGGACAAACCATTCATTTATTAGACCTTANCTTTCTTTCATTTCTATATCGTGTTTATCATAGTGCCACGCGGTCTTCATATTCATATCTTTACATTATTCTATTACCGCAACCTTAACATCTATTTCACCCCGACCTGCTCCCAGTCTGGCCTTGTAGCTCAGCTGGTAGAGCATCGGTGTACAATCCGAAGGTCGTGGGTTCGAATCCCAGCGAGGTCGGAAATTAATTTTTCCGAATTTATTCCTAAGGGACTTCTCCCGGAATTGCCTCCTTCTAAGCACTATAACTTTCTTTCATTTCTATATCGTGTTTATCATAGTGCCATGCGGTCTTCATATTCATATCTTTACATTATTCTATTACCGCAACCTTAACATCTATTTCACCCCGACCTGCTCCCAGTCTGGCCTTGTAGCTCAGCTGGTAGAGCATCGGTGTACAATCCGAAGGTCGTGGGTTCGAATCCCAGCGAGGTCGGAAATTAATTTTTCCGAATTTATTCCTAAGGGACTTCTCCCGGAATTGCCTCCTTCTAAGCACTATAACTTTCTTTCATTTCTATATCGTGTTTATCATAGTGCCATGCGGTCTTCATATTCATATCTTTACATTATTCTATTACCGCAACCTTAACATCTATTTCACCCCGACCTGCTCCCAGTCTGGCCTTGTAGCTCAGCTGGTAGAGCATCGGTGTACAATCCGAAGGTCGTGGGTTCGAATCCCAGCGAGGTCGGAAATTAATTTTTCCGAATTTATTCCTAAGGGACTTCTCCCGGAATTGCCTCCTTCTAAGCACTATAACTTTCTTTCATTTCTATATCGTGTTTATCATAGTGCCATGCGGTCTTCATATTCATATCTTTACATTATTCTATTACCGCAACCTTAACATCTATTTCACCCCGACCTGCTCCCAGTCTGGCCTTGTAGCTCAGCTGGTAGAGCATCGGTGTACAATCCGAAGGTCGTGGGTTCGAATCCCAGCGAGGTCGGAAATTAATTTTTCCGAATTTATTCCTAAGGGACTTCTCCCGGAATTGCCTCCTTCTAAGCACTATAACTTTCTTTCATTTCTATATCGTGTTTATCATAGTGCCATGCGGTCTTCATATTCATATCTTTACATTATTCTATTACCGCAACCTTAACATCTATTTCACCCCGACCTGCTCCCAGTCTGGCCTTGTAGCTCAGCTGGTAGAGCATCGGTGTACAATCCGAAGGTCGTGGGTTCGAATCCCAGCGAGGTCGGAAATTAATTTTTCCGAATTTATTCCTAAGGGACTTCTCCCGGAATTGCCTCCTTCTAAGCACTATAACTTTCTTTCATTTCTATATCGTGTTTATCATAGTGCCATGCGGTCTTCATATTCATATCTTTACATTATTCTATTACCGCAACCTTAACATCTATTTCACCCCGACCTGCTCCCAGTCTGGCCTTGTAGCTCAGCTGGTAGAGCATCGGTGTACAATCCGAAGGTCGTGGGTTCGAATCCCAGCGAGGTCGGAAATTAATTTTTCCGAATTTATTCCTAAGGGACTTCTCCCGGAATTGCCTCCTTCTAAGCACGATAACTTTCTTTCATTTCTATAACTACGAAACAGTATGGAACGTACCTTCGAAGGTGGATGCCGTTTTGCAGTGAAAGGGAAAATAATTACCATTCACCTTCGATAAATAACATCCTCGATTTCCTATTTGAGCTCTACAACAGCGGATTTAGCTACTCTATACTCAACATCGCTCGTTCAGCTCTGTCTACTGTGGTCAATATTCCCGATTTTAGTTCTAACGCTATTGTTAACCGGTTTATGAAAGGTGTTTTCGAGTTAAGAAAACCCACGCCATAATACTCTTCAATATGGGATGTTTCAGTTGTACTGAAGTAACTAGCCAAAGAGGACAAACCATTCATTTATTAGACCTTAGACATTTAGATAAACAAGATAATCGTCTTATTTTCTATG